TTCTGGTGTCTTTTCTTGTTGACATGTTTCTTTTACCAACCTCTCCCACTCTTTTTTTCCGCATTTCATTTTTGTAATTTTTCATTTCCTTCTTGATTTGTTATATTTCAACTAATGGGGTTTCCTTCTTGACTCATTATCGATTGTTCTGTCAGGTTTTAATCCATTTTATTAAATTTTAGAAATCTTGACAAAAACTCGATTATTTGGTGAAGGAGCTAGTATTTATGTAACTGTAGGTGATTTTTAAAGTTCGACAGTGGTACAAAAATGCATTCTCTAAAAATATTTGATGCAATTGTGAAGAGACAGGACCGTACTAACTCAGTAGTAACAGTGACACCATAGAGACTAAAAAAACATTACGAAACTAGAAGGCATTCAACAAGTCAACATAAACTTCTCACGACAAAAGATTCCCTTACTTTTTCAATTCTATATCGAAAATCGAGTTAACTTGGAACCTTAATAGTCTGGAATATCGAAGAAAGGTCTCTCTTCATATGCGTGTGAATGCACCTTTACTTTATCTGCCAATCATTTCGAACGAGTTGCTTTCTTGAAAAAAACAGGATACGCTCGTTTTGAACTAACAAGGATACGGAATGATTAACATGTCTATGTACGATTTGGATATTTTTTTCAAATTATCTTCATTATTTGTCGGGATATTCTATTGTTTCGTAGTGTTGCCCAACGACCAATCGTCCTGCACTGCATTTTGGCTCGTTAGACGAAATAATTTCAGAAATTACTTGATGCGGCCTTGTAATTATTCTCAGTTTTCTGTTTGCTTATCTAGATCATCCTGTACCTGGAGCTTAAGCTACGGGTGATTTTTTTAGAGGTATAGGATTTGATTTTCAAAACAACACAAAAAATTTGAAAAAAGTTATGAAATCTTTATTGAATCGATAGAACGATCAATATGATTTAGTGTTTGAAGATGATTTCATGCAAATGTTGTCCGCGGCTCCGCTTTAGATGGCCCATGCGCAAGGTCCAATTTTGGCACACTCTCTCTAACATATCGACCGGTATTTCACGTATAAATGCTTCGAAATTGGCTTCCAGAGCGTCAGTCGAACGGCGCGGCGGCGAATCGACATTTCACGGTCATCACGAACACTGGCGGATAATAAGTTTGACAATGACACAAGAAACGATTCACGCGTGATCTATCAAAAACAGTGTTGCCAAAAAGATACCAGCAAAAAAATCACCCATTATTGTAGTATATATGCATAGTACTTTCCGGTTGTTAGTGGTGTCGCTAAAACATGTACTATGAAATGACAGTTGACACCGACGGAAGAACAGAGTGTTGTCTCTGTTTGGTGAAACTAGCATGAAAATGAAAAACTATAAAATATAAGATTAATGCTGTATATCATTGTAAATAAGTATGTAAATAAAGCTTGTAAATAGCATTCATAGTGTGGTAAATGATAACACATGGCGCAGTCTGAAAAAGAGGTACTGAAGCTCTAAAAATGAATTTGAAACCGCCATATTTTTAGGTCGGAGATTCAAAAGCCACCAACTTATAGCCGAAATTTAAACAATCTTTTGAGATATTCCTGGTGGCTGCTGGATTAACGGAAGCTGGTGACAAGAGAAAGTGCAATTCATTACTACACTGCATGGGACAAGAAGGCCTAGATGTGTACATCACTTTTGAGTTGAAACCAAATGAAATTTATAAATTTGAAGTGCTGGTTATCAAGTTCAATGATTATTTTGTGCCCAAAGTCTATGTAATGAGAAATCTAAAAACTGGAGAAGGGTTTGACAACTATGTTACAGAATTGAAATCTCTTGCAAGTTCATGTGATTTTGGAAAATTGAAAGATACACTCATAAGAGATCGTATTATATGTGGCATAGAACACATTAAATTGAGAGAAAAGCTATTAACAGAGCCTAATTTAACACTAAACAAATGTGTCGATATTTGTCGAGCTACTTTAGCAACAGAGAGTCACATTAAGGACATATCAAGCGAAGCAAAACGAGATGTGGGTATACACACAAAGTGAATAAATGTCCAGCGTACCAGCAGACCTGCAAGAAGTGTAAATAATTAGGCTAAGTTTAGCTTAAAAGAGAGAGGTGTGGTATATGTGCATAGTACTTTCCGGTTGTTAGTGGTGTCGCTAAAACATGTACTATGAAATGACAGTTGACACCGACGGAAGAACAGAGTTGTTGGCTTTGTTTGGTGAAACTAGACATGTTGTGCATGAAAATGAAAAACTGTAGAATATAAGATTAACGCTGTATATCATTGTAAATAAGTATGTAAATAAAGCTTGTAAATAGCATTCATAGTGTGGTGAATGATAACACAATTACGATGTTTAACAGGTATCTGCATCATATGCAGATACTCCGATTGTCGGAAGACAGTGTGTGTCGCCTCTGTTTGGAAAATGATGAACCAGCAGAGAACATACTTTGTGCCTGCCCCGCTGGGGACTGAATCAGGTTTATAGAGTTTTAATTATGTTATATTCCTCACACAATGGCATCAATAATCCTTTCAAACGATTGAAAAATTTCTGTGATATCTCGCACACACTTAGTTTTATTTCATTTTTTTTCAACGTACCATAGCTTAAATATATTACCAGAATATTATTTCCTGAATTATGATTTCTCTATTGTTTTTTATATATACTATTCTCCCATATACTTCTTTCTCTTTACAAAACTTTCGTCTTGTCCCAACTGATTCAAATATTCTCATCTGAAGTTCAACATTCCGTAATGCGAGAATTTTATCTCATTGTAGGAAAACGTTAATGATGAAGTGATTGTTTCAACAGAGTAAATAAATCACTGCATCTGTATTTGAACAATTTCATGGCAAACTATTCAGGCCTTGGCGCTGATGCATCGCACTTACATCATCAGATCAAAATCTTTCAATTGTGCCCTGCTGTAATAAATAATAGTAGAAGGTCTGCGGGCTATAACAATAGATAGCTTATTGTTGTTAGTCTGCATAACTAATACTTTAGTGCAATTCATCAAATCAACACGGCTGGTGTCGAATGTCCTGTGCCAAACGCATGTGTTGTTACGCAATGTACGGCATTTACTGCGAGAAAGTTTCTAAATTACTGCTGAAATTGCAAACATGGAAAAGCAACACAAAATCTGCCCCGTCTCAAAATATTAAGATTGATACTAATGGTGACCAGTTAGTTCTTGTAGATCACACACAAATCCTTGGGATGGGAATAAACTAAAAGGTGTTTTTATAGAGATATAGAACTTTAAGTTGGCAACACTTTTTTCACTAGCGGCCATTTTGTCAGCTGTCAAGTGAATTATGTTCAGTTTGGTTTGGTATTTTGAAATGACTATATTAACGCTGAAATTGCAAACATGGAAAAGCAACACAAAATCTGCCCCGTCTCAAAATATCAAGATTGATACAAATGGTGACCAGTTAGTTCTTGTAGATCACACAAAAGTCCTTGCGATGGGAATAAACTAAAGAGTGTTTTATAGAGGTATAGAACTTTAAGTTGGCAACACTTTTTTCACTAGCGGCCATTTTGTCAGCTGTCAAGTGAATTATGTTCAGTTTGGTTTGACATTTTAACATGACTAGACTGACGCTGAAATTGCAAAAATGCAAGCAACTCAAAATTTGCCCCTTCTCAAAATATCAAGATTGATACTACTGGTGACCAGTTAGTTCTTGTGGAAGACACAAAAATCCATCCTTGGGACGAAAATAAACTAAAGAGTGTTTTACAGAGGTATAGAACTTCAAGTTGGCAACACTTTCTTCACTAGCGGCCATTTTGTCAGCTGTCAAGTGAATTATGTTCAGTTTGGTTTGACATTTTAACATGACTAGACTAACGCTGAAATTGCAAACATGGAAAAGCAACACAAAATCTGCCCCGTCTCAAAATATCAAAATTGATACTAATGGTGACCAGTTAGTTCTTATAGATCACACAAAATTCCTTGGGATGGGAATAAACTAAAGAGTGTTTTATAGAAGTATAGAACTTTAAGTTGGCAACACTATTTTCACCAGCAGCCATAAATGGAAAAGCCTCTTCTCAAAATATCAAGATTGATACTATCTGTATGTGCTAGTATTATCATTCATAACTCGTCCAGCCACCTGTATCAGCACAAAGTAGCAGCTTTCAACAGTGTGATCCACAAACTGATAAATTTGCCCTTGTCATATGTGAATTTCAATAAAGAACTGAAAAATAATAAAACATAGCCGTCAACAATTATTACGATAGCAGCCTGATACATTATTTATTATCAAAAAAGATACAACCAAGCTCTGAAGGAAGTTAACCTATTTCCAAGAGAAGAGGAAAAAGTTATAGAGAACCTCAACCTACTTAGGCCAACCCACTACAAATATTTCTGCACAACAAAGTTGTAAATATTGTAAATAACTTGGGCATGCGCGTTAAGAATAACAAAGATGAAAGTTCAGTTTCAGAAAAATCGGGAGTGTATAAATTATCATGTGGCTCATGTCCGATGTTCTATATATGTCAAACTGGATGAACGTTCCAAACCCGCATAAAAGAACACAAAAATAGTTTCCACAATGGAAACATAAATTCCACATATGCCACTTATTTAATCATAGAGGGTTTGAAGAAAGGCTTTTAAAGTTTGGCTTTGACAACCTTGACATATTCGAGGATTGGATTCTCCGTCGATGCTGTCCATGGTGTCTTCCTAAGGGAAAATGTCTTTGCTCTTACTAATGAAACAATGACTCAGTGGTCGCCAGAATCTCCAGATCTATGTGGAATTGACCAAGTAATGTTAAGTAGATATTCCAATGATGGATAGGAATTTTCATTTCATACTTTGCAGTAACATCGAATGAAGGTTATTGATTAGTGAATCGACTCGTTGTTGGTGACTGAGCAATGAAGACATACCAATGAACCATATAGCATGCAATAAATTTCGTGGAATGAACCACAAAGACGACTTACCGTCGTCCAGCTCCGTTATTATAGATGTTATCTGCTCTCCATGGTACCCAATACTATTGGTGACTATAGGCTTCTTCGTTCCTCCCCTGGAAGGCCCCCTATCGCTTTCTCCATAGGAACTCAGACCATTTCCAACAGGTCTCGGTCTATTGGGTCTTTCATCATCATGCGGTCGTATGTTACTGTCGCCTTGGGGTCTTGGGTACTCATAAGACTGATCACCGTGTGGTCCATCATTATTTGGTTTTGAGACATCGCCGTATGGTCCAAAGCCCTCATAGGGCTTGCCTTTGACTGGTTTTGAATCCTCATAGGGTCTTATATGGTGTGGTCTATCAGCGTCGGGTCTTGAGTCGTCGTAGGGTTGGACATTTGGCCTCGAGTCCTCATAGGGCCTGTCGCTGTCAATGGGTCTCGAATTTTGATACGGCCTATATGGTCGCGTGTCGTCATAGGGCCTGTCGCTGTCATTAGGCCTCGAGTTTTGATAGGGTCTGTCATTACTCGGTCTATTTGGTCGCGTGCCCTCATAGGGCCCGTTATTCTCAGGCCTCTCGCTACCATAGCCTGTCGAGGGTTTTGATGAAGGTCTTTCATCATCATAGGAACCGTTTGGCTTCGACGGTCTTTCATTTTGGTATGGCCCATAGCTAGATATTCCATCTGGTTTCCAAGATGGTCTATCGTCTTGAGGAGCATATTGTGGTGAACCAGGCCTGTGGTTATAGCTGTATTTTTCTCCTGATGGCCGTCTAAAGTCATCGTAGCTTTCCAGAGGTCTGTACGGTTTGTGGTATTGGTAGTCGTTCTTGATCGAGTGGTGAAAGTATTCGTTGTGGTATTCTTCGTGCTGCTGTTGATGCTGGAATAGATATTCGCTTTGGGCCAGCGGTTTGTTGTTGTTGTAGGAGTCTGGGTGGGGTATGAGAGAGCCGTATTTGTCGGGGAATTGATAGTTGTAGTAGTTCGACTGTGGTCGGAAGGGGATCCTTGACGGTCTGTCGCCATATCTGGAAACGGATATAATATTGATGTTTAAAAAGTATAGATAGGTTTACGACAAATATATTTGTGTTTGTCGCTTCCAATATAAAAACATATAGTGAAATCATTTTCCATTGAAGCATTTTGACTGATTGTGTGAATCTTACTAGTCTCGAGTTGAAATAAATATACAAGAAGTTCCTAAATAATAATATCCTTTACTGAAACCTTGAAAGTAATGCTTAGTCAATTTTTTTTCTTCTTCTTTTTTCAGCCCTTTTCCGTGAGGCATCTTGAGATGAAAAAGTTGAGGATGGTTTCAACTTTTAGTCACGAGTACAAATAAGTAAAATAATTCAAACTAATCTACGCTAAATGAGTAATTGTCCTTTACCTGTCTGAGTAGTATTCGGTGCTGCCTGGTTTCGAAACGTCATATCTATGCAGGTCCGGTCTTTCTACAGGTCCGTAAGGCCTTTGGAAGAAGGTACTCTGTCCATAGTCATCATTGATCTCAAAAACCGGTCGAATTCCCCCATGTTGGTCTGGTCTGTCGAAATCATTTGGTCGTTGTAGAACTTTATGGTCTTCGTGGGGGCTGTTGGAGGATTCCGGTATGAACGAAGGACGTTTTTCATCATGTTGACCTGAAAATCGATGAGATATGAAATATGAAAGGAATCTTTTTTCTGGAGAAAAATTTGTGGTTAAGTGAGTGGAGAACTTCATAGGAAAGAATGTCGACTAGTTTTTTAATTTTTCACAATAAAATTTATAACTTGTATCCATGTATTTCGAAAAATTCCCCTGAGAATCCAAAAATTCATTTGATTGCCAAATAATTAATTCATTAACGTTGCTGAGGAAATGCTGATTTGTTAGAGAAACAACACATTTTTATACCTGTCAAATCTGAAATGTTGCAGAAAAGTTTTGAAATTACAGGTAATGAAAGAAGAAACATTGAAAAATCCGAAAATTCCTTTTTCTTTATTGGTTCACAAACATTGCTAAGGAAATGTTCATTCATTCGTTAAAGAATCACATTTTTATAGCTGTCAAACACGAAATATTACAGAAAAGTTCTAAAATTACAGGTAATGAAAGAAGAAACATTGAAAAACCCTGAATTCATTTTCATTGCATAATAATTGGTTCATAAATGTTGCTGAGGAAATACTGATTCATTTGTTGGAGAGAAATACTTTATTATAGCTGTAAAACTTGTAAATGTTGCAGAAAATTGTTGAAATTACAGGTATTGAAAGAAAAAACATTGAAAAATTCTCTAAAAAATACGAAAATTCATTTTTATTGCATAATAATTGGTTTATAAACGTTGCTGAGGGTATGCCGATTTATCTGTCAGAGAAACACATTTTTGTAGCTGTCAAATTTGAAATAATGCAGGAAAATTTTGAAATTACAGGTAATGAAAGAAGAAACATTGAAAAATCCGAAAATTCATTTTTCTTTATTAGTTCACAAACGTTGCTGAGGAAATGTTTATTTATTCGTTAGAGAAACATGAAATTTTGCAAAAAAGATCTAAAATTACAGGTTATGAAAGAAAAATCGTTAAAAATCCTCTAAAATCATAATATTATTGTTTATTGCATAATAATTGGTTCATAAATTTTTCCTGTGAAAATGCTCATTTATTTGTTAGAGAAACACATTTTTATAGCTGTCAATCTTATTGCATAAGTTGTTATATTATTTGGTGAATTAGGTGGATGTCGACAAAGATAATTCGTTTAATAACATATGGGCGTCCTGCATACGTCCCATCCGTGTTCCTGGATGTTCCGTCAGTACAAGGATTCAAATGGGATGTCCAGGGGATGTCCCACAGAGGTTATCCTGTGGGTATCATACATAGATTATCATGTTCCCTAATTTGCCATATATATATTTGTATAACAAACAACGAACACATGTAATTATGATTTGGTAAGTGATAACTGGACATGAATAAAATAATCGCTTGACTTGTTTTTTGTTTCAGGTGCAAATATGTCAACGGTTAAAGGAAATTCATTTTCCGAATCCATCCAATTGAATTCTCTTTAACAAAGTTAAGAAAAGTTTTTATGAATCGTAATGAATATTTACCTTTCACTTGCTGTATCAAAAGTATCAAAAGTAATACAAATTAATGGAAATATTTAAAAACTTTTTTAATGTGGTTTTCTTGTTACAGCGAATGATTTTCACTAATATGTAAATGAAAATACATTTCAATGAAAATACTGTATTAATATTTAAAAACTGTTTTACAGGAGCCTCTGAGAGAATTTCAAACAAAAAACAAACAGAAAAGGCCTTTACAAAATTTCGAAAGGCGTAAAGAAGGAAAGTGAAATGAAAGATAGTTCAGTGATCAATAGACTGTGTCTTTTGTATTAGTGATTATTTAAATATTGTTTATTTTTTTAAAACTAGAGCCCAAAAATAAGGCATAGCTCATAATGAATGTTTATTCTCATTTTCATTATATTTTTTCTCTGTGAAAAACTTTAAACTGGGGTTCCATACAGCGAGATCCATGAAATGCGTCTCTGGAATAAATATGGTACATCTTTGGGATATCCCATGGATGTACCTTTCACAAGTTTGATGTTCCTGGGATGAGTTTGGTATATCATTGAGACATCCTTTGGAACCACTTGGAAAGACGTCCTCTAAATGTCCGTTTATGTGAAACGGGAATGTTCTTGGAACGTCCCTAGGTTGTACCAGAGACAGCATTCTTCGCCCTCTTCAGGACATCCCAGGAACGTCCAACGATTGCGATTGTGTTGTTATGGTTTTTAATATGTTTAGGGTGGCTGAAGAATGTTTAGAGGATAGTATATCTTTGAAAAATGTGGTTGAAATCTTACAAAAACCTACTACTCCCCAATCCCCAACTAACCCAATCAATATGGATAAAAAATTACCTCCATATCCCAGTTGCGAATCTCCTGCTACCAAAATCCCGTGAACCGGATTCAAAACGGTTTGGGGCCCGCTAGCTACGCTCACCAACGTTTGGACGTTCTGAACTCCATCTTTATTGGGCGATCGAGGTGGCTGAGTGGGTCTACGATCCCCGTACGAGATTCTATCGACATCAGAATCGTAATAGTGGCCGGAATCCGGCGGGTGAGGTGGCCGGTGTGGATTTTTCGATGGGAGGTAAAGGTTACTCAGATCTGGCGGGCGAGAAGGCCCATCCGGAGGTGCGGGTCCGTCGATAGCGTCTTGAAGGGGTTTGAAAAAGATTTCGTCTTCAGCGGGGATGTTGCCGAGAGTGATCGGCTTCAGGGAAGGGCGGAAGTCTTGGTCGGAGGGTTTGACGTGGGGGGATTTGTCGATCACAAGGGTGCAGTCTAGCTTCTTTATGTACAAGTCGAAATCGGTGTCGGAGACGGTTCCGATGGGTTTCAGGTCGGCGGTTTCTTTGATGGCGTCGACGCTCAGTTCACAGGTGGCGTTGCCTTTTGCTGAAATCCTGTGAATGCGAGAATGGTTGAGTTAGAGTATTGTAGAAACCACTTACATATGAACATTGAATTACAGGAAAACTGTTTTTTACAATTCAGTTTGCACGCCAATCATTCATTATGTGACACAGTTGTTATTCATAGAAACGCTACACAACGTAGTATATGAAATGAAGAAAAGAGAATTGAAACTTTCTATGTCTTTTACCACTTTTATTTGTAACTAACGTAACTGCAGTTTCGTCCTATAAGGACATTAAACATGGTCATTGGGACCACGTGACAGGTAAGTTTGGATAGGTTGCTTGTTGAAGTGGGAACAATTCGAATTTTCCGCTGTGCGCACGGTAGCTTCTGATTGGTCGACTCCATGAACACTGTCACAATATAAGAGCTTTGAAAAAATGAGACTTTCGCATAATGTCAGCTTCATCTTTGTGGAAGGAAGGTCACGATTTGGGTACAATTGTCTGAGAGTATTATATGATACCTTACATAAGTTGCTGACATATCCCAAAAATCTCAGCTCACTGTCTAGATACAAACCTAGATTCCGGCAGTCCTTGATTTGAGGGAGGTAGTCAATTTCCATTTTGATTCTTATCTGTCCGATGGCTGAATTTCTGTACGACGTACGACCCAAAATCAAGAAAGATGATTTTTTTCCATTGTGCTTCAGATTGTGTGCCGTAAATATATCCAACAATGACTGAAGATCTTGATTTATTAATATTTGTGAGTGAGTTACGGAAGTCAAGTTGAAAGTGGAGTATATTTGTGTGTCGTCGGCGTAATAGTGGGTTTGCCTATTCTGTATGTATTCATGGAAATCCGATATATCAATACTGATTAGCAAGGGACCTAAGATGGAACCCTGTGGTACTCCAAATGCAACACTCAATGCTTCAGATGTATCGTTGTCTGTCACTACCCTTTGTCTGCGATTAGTTAGGAAATCTATTATGAACTCATCATAATCAGATGAAAAATCAAAAAATTGAAGTTTTGGACAAAGAATGTGATGATCTAAGGCAGGGGTCTCCAAACTTTGAAGCCTTCGGGCCATAATGATTTTTTCAGTTTATTCCAAGGGCCAATTTCTGCCCTTAACTATATTTCTAGACTAGGATAGTCGCAAAGTGCGTGACCTAAGCAAACTTACGCTTTTTTGCATTTCAATTTTTATTGTGTATTGTGACACTTAACGACATCTAGTGGCGAGTAGTGGTACTATGTACTATCTTTTTCAGCTACNGGGCCGGATTTGGCCCGCGGGCCGTAGTTTGGAGACCCCTGATCTAAGGTATCAAAAACTTTACTATAGTCAAGAAGGACCAGACAGGTTTCCTTCATCACTAGATTTCATTATATCATCAGTGATTTTCAACATGGCTGTTGTGGTACTATGATTTTGTCGAAATCCAGATAGGTAGTACATTAGAGATTATTTGAGGGAAATCAATGTGTTCCAATATCTGCTCTTTCATTATCATTTCAAATACTTTCGATAAGGTTGGCAGAATGCTAATCGGACGTAAATCTGAATATTCTGTTGGCGAAGGGCATTTGGGAAAAGGGAGAATTAAGGCATGTTTCCATATTGAGGGAAAGTTACCGCTAGAGATGCATTCATTCATAATGAAAGTAATACGTTCGATAATTTCCTCTCCTACCAACTTGAGCATGTGAAGTTAGATATCGTCAGTACCCACAGCATTAGTATTAATTTTTTGCAGGTATGGTATGGAGGTTGAAATATTTTTTCTGATTACGTGCTATATATTTGTCAAGAAGAGACCATTGATGAGGATTTTTCATCGGGTGTGGTATGCAGAAACTTTTTGAGAAACTCCGTATATGTAACTCACCCGAAAGCGAAAGCTCTGCAAGAATTCTTCTGCTCCGAGCAAGCTCTTTTGCAATCGGCAACGGTGTTGTGTTTGAAACTTTTGGAGACTTTATCCGGGTTCAATCTTTCTCCTATTGTCAAGCGTTCGAAACAATCTGAAAAAAATATTTCAAATTCATAATTATTATAATGGAACGCCCTGTAGAACGTTTGTATTGAAATTGGGACCCAAAGTAGGTCGTTGATTTTTTTACTGCCTGATGATCTCTCGAGGCGAGGGAAATATCTCTCAGGTTCATTAACATTTTTCATGATCAAGGACGTAGATTGGCGACTGTTTTAACAGTTAGATTGTTTTTATATCACTGTGATTCGAGAATTTATTGCTAACAAAATAACTCACTGCTTTGATTGATCGCAATCAACTTTGATGTAGATTCGATTTAATTTGATATGAATCGAAAAAATAGTACTGGGCTGATTTTACAGTAATTTTACTGTGGAGAAAGTTTAAAAATCTTATCGACAAGCCCCATGAAACTAAAAATCAAATGTACGGTTGCAGAAACCTGAAAAACATGTCATTGACATTCAAAAACTAATAAAAAACCTTGATATGAAATACGAAAGTCACAAAACCAAAGAAAAATAAGGAGCAGAAAATTCTCAAACCTCCTAAATATCGCTGAAGAATTCGTCCAGCCCAAAGAAATATTGTTATACTTTCTAGCCATTTTAATCATTTCATTTCAAATAAAGGTTCAATTTAAAAAATGTACAGATGTTTCAGGTTGATTACCCATCATTTTTGACAAAGATAATCTAATCTAATTCTCTTATTGAAAATGTGATAGTGTCAGTTGTAACAATCATAATCGGCCCAAATACACTACTCTGTGGTATACCTGTCGTAATGGAACGGGTCTCAGAAAAAAATATACCTCGTTTAGC